GTGACACTAAAAACACCACATTTCTTCGTCTAAAACAGTAGGTTAAAAAGCCCACCTATGCACCATAATAGACAAACGATTATAATTTGAAAATTGCTTTGTAAAACACGATGGGCACAGACACAGAGGAAGATTGTACACAATGTCAAATTTTCCTTTCTATTGCTGCTCAGCATTTGGCATACCTAAGCCTTCGTGAAACCATCAAACAGAAGGCAAGAAATAGTCAATTGAATGGGTATCCAAAAAGGTCATCATAATGACAGCATGGGAAACTGTTCCCTTGATCTTGCACATATGCCTCTAAGATGAGCAGATCTGTAAGAAAAATAAGAATTCTGCTTCATTGCATGTGGATATAACGCTGAAGTGGAGAGACCTGTTTCCAGTACGTTTTATTCTTAGCAATCACAGCCTATGCATTCAGTAGCTAACTGTTGGATCAATCATTACATGAGGATAGGGTACTTTGCCATTTTTCCCTTTTGAATTTTCATTACTTTTAATAAGAATGAAGAGTTCTTTATAATCACCAAATACAAAAGACTTCAGCTTTAATTTAGAGCAAGAACACCCTGGCTTGAAGAAGCTCCATATAAGGAACAGGAAAAAGAAAAAAAACAACCATCCTCTTATTGCCCTTTAGAAAATCAAAAGTAGCACCTTATCGGCAGAATGGCAGCATGACTTAAATGGCTTTCATGTACCATTTTTACTATGCTATTTCTATTAGATCATTGAGAATAAACATCTGTTTTCATTTACTAATCTTTTTCCCAATTAGAATCTCTCTGAATCTGTGTACAATAGTAATTTCATTTCTTCTCACTTGCAAGCATCTTAATTAAAATCAGCTTATGTTGACTTTCATTTTTACAATATATCTGCCTATTTCACATCATAGCACCTTCGTGACCCCCAGAGAGTCATAAGCCTTTAATATTTTATTTTGACCTTGTTAAGTTACTGGAACCATCAAAGATTTTTCTTCTTCCCTCACTGAGCCATTTTTTATCATCAAAATGCACAGTATGTGTGAAAATACATAGCTGAGAACTATGCTGCCTTTAAACAACATATCTCTGTTCATTTATGAGAAAGCAATTTGTTGCTTTTCAAGTTATAGCAAGAATGAGTTTTCAAACCATAAACTTCATTATTAATTTAGGATGACCAGTTAAATGGTACATAAATGTCTCTTTTTCCATGAGCTTCAGGACAGAAAACTATTGCTTTCTCTTTTCAATTAAAAACAAAACAAAAAAACACCAAAGAATGCTGATTTTAAAAGAATTTATAACAGTCATCTTCTACCTCTGAGTTTACAAAAACAGGAGGTTTGTAGGAAGAAGCAGTATCTTATTAGAGCAGCTAATTAGAAGACACAGCCAAAAACTAAAAATCTCCAGACAAGATATGTAAACCCATCTCAGGCCTGCAGCAGAAAATTTGCCAGTGTGTGTTCAATGCGTTTCAACTCCACCATTTAGCCTAATGATAGAAGCGCACACAGCACGTGAAGAAGCTTTGGCGCAGATGGGAATGGAAAAGTGCACAGGATCCCTTCAGCCTTCACAGGCTTCTCTAATGCCTACAGACTTTGGAGCTTGGAGAAACTGTGAGCACATCTTTTTACATTGGCGTTATAAAGGCAAAGGTTTTGGCACAATCTGAGTCCTGATAGCAGAGAAAACCTGATGGCATGCTGCCCTTCAGCACACTTTACACTTACCTTCAGGGTGGATGCCAGCACCCCCCTTACCTGATAGACGCCCAAATTATCTCAGCCTCCTGCCCATTGCCAGGAAGCAGAAAGCTTTTTAAGCAGAGCTCTTTTTTAGGAGGGCTCAAAGTCCTGAAGGCAGTTGGGATTCAAAAAATGTGTAAATGTGGCACGTGGGTACATGGCTTAGCAGGCATGGTGGTCATGGGTTGACTGCTGGACTAGATGATCTTAGTGGCCTTTGCCAACTTCCATGGACCAGCCACTGTGTTAGCTTGATGTGGCACAACTGTGCAGAGGCTAACACTTCTGATGTCTACAAACACAGCTGCATGGAGCCTGGTTGGGAAGCGTGCTGATTGTTTGGGGTTTTTTTGCTCCTCAGAAAAGCAGAGAGACACAATTGCAAAAGTGTCTTCAAGCAAGACTGAATGTAAATTCAGAAAGTGGAGCTTGAAGTTTGTCAGTCACAAACAATCAGTACTTGGCTGCTGGGTAGAGGAAGCTGGGGTCAGCTGATGATGATGTGGGAGAAGTAAATGGCTTGACAGAAAGAGATAAAAAATTCCCAAAATAATAAAAAAAATTAAAAATCTAAAAGTTCAGAATGAATAAGTGTCTGTACTATGACAGGAAGCAGAAGGGAATAGGTCTATCTTAAGGAAAAAGCAGTGTGAAGAAAAGCACAGAAACACATACAGTCAACTAGAGAATAGAAAACAAGAAAAAATGCCACTTGTGGCTGAATCAGCACTTCATCTGGGAAGAACAAAATTTAGGAGCTTGCAAGGCATAAAGCTAACAGATCGCCTGGGTATTCACTATATAAGAGATTATGGGAAAGTTAAATGGAATTCCCAGAGGGAGTAATTATAATTTCAGCACTTCATTTGCTCTGCAGATTTACTCAAGATCCAAAGAAGAAAATTTAACTGCTTAGCAGATCCACCTTCCTCCCTCTGCATAGTACAGTCTTTTATTTCTCAGCCACATTGAAACATAACTGTTTACAGTCAACGAGTAGCTTATGTTCTGCCTCCAAAAGCAGAGCGTTATGTGTAGAAATGCAGCACAAATGTCCCTGCTCACTACTGTGGATTTTGCTGCCCTTAAGTGCAGGCTTAGAGAAGAAAATCTGTCAGACTCAGGTCACATGGGGCCCATGACAGGAACCTGGCACCGCCAAACCTGTGGTTAGCATCCTCACAGTAGGATCCTCACAGTAGGATCCTCACAGTGCTGCTGGAACCAGCACTAGAGACACCCAACTCAAGAAAGGAGAGGGTTTTGAGCTGTGAAAGCAAAGGAGCAACGGACTGTTAAGAACTAACCCTTGCACTAGCATTAATTTATACCTCATAGCTCTCCATATGCGTCAGCTCCCTATCTGTGCAGTTACAATGAGTCACTCTGCCGTGCCACTGTGCAAACTGCTCCAGGACAGAACTAACTTCTGGTCATGCACAGGCACAAGTTGAAGTGAAGGCTATAATTCCCACTTGCACCTTTGCAGACTGTAAGAGGGTTGGCAAAATACCTACACCCTGATATCCTTGGACAGCTTTCTCACATGAAATATTTTTGAATTGTTTAGTATTGGACTTGCTTAACATCCTTACTGACATGAATAGGCAAGAATCAAAACAGAATTGCTATGAGGCAAATGGTCACTTGCAGGAACAAATTCTCAGGCTTCAGAAGTATCATTAATGAACTTACTTCTTTTCCCCTCCCTAGCCTTAGTGTGTGACTACTTTGTTCCTACAGCTGTGCTCACCAGTACAATATATATGTGACTAAGGTAGGAGAACTGTCTGTTTTAAGAAAGGCAGGTAAGAGACAGGAATTTTCATTCACTTATTTAAAGGGGTGACTTCTTCCATCTGCCATTCAAACACTAATTTCTCCTATTATCACTCAGACAATAAATCCTTTTACTCCTTAGAAGACAGATTTTGGCTAACCCTCGCCTTTCAATACGTATCGTACAGGCCAACCAAAATTCTGATCTGAGCAGTGAGAACCTGAAAACACTCAGCACCACGCTGCATTTAGATGACTGGAATCTGGCTGTCAACCAACTCAATGAGTATCTGTGCACTTCCCCCAGCTACCACCACCACAAATTCCCAAAAGAAATTACAGAAAACTTCTTAAGTGTAACATCATAGTGCTCAACACTAACCACATATTTGGGTATTACAGAAAATGCTCTCTGGACATCTGTTGTTACCTCAAAAACAGAGTAGACCCTGACAATGGTTTCAAATTTGAATTATACACTCTCAAGAACAGTTCTGTTTCTTCTCAGAATGCTTGTAAATGAACACATCTTCAAAAAACAAACAAACAACAACAACAACCATGTTTTCCTGAAGCTAAAAGTTCATTTACAAATAGGATACTTCACGTAAACACAAAATCATCAAGATTGGAACAGACCACTAAGATCACCAAGTCCAACCAGCCACGCATTGCCACCATGCCTGCTAAGCATGTCCCTCAGTGCTACATCTATCCCTGAACATCTCCAGGGATGGTGACTCTAAGCTGTCCATAGATTACTGCAAAACCTGGAGGTATTATATGAACAATGCTTACATTTGACTTCAGAAGTTCTGAGCAAGATGGACAATTGCTTCTAGAGATGGACAAATGATCCAGCAGCACAATATACAGCTTGACAAGTCAGTGGTGGAATGGACTCCTGTAGCTTGCTGTTCTGCTATCAGCCATGAACTTTACTTCTACTAGTAAAATGTTGCATGATACTATAATCTTCCCTTTTATGCTGAGTAGAAATAATTATGTCATTTTGAAGTCTTCATACTGCTAAATTAAATATACACATAAATTCTAGCAAATTAAATTTAAAAGCAAGACTGTTTGGTTAGATTATGTAAAAAAGTATGCTCTAAGACTTGCTGAGTTCTGAGAACTGAAACCGCAGACAGACAAAATACAGCTGCACACATTCAGATATGGTGCATTTGCTAATATTGGAAACTTCAGCATGCTGCAGCAAATTCAACTTCTGATTAGTATGTGCATAGAAAAAAAAAACACACTGTAGAAAACAAAAAGCATTTCAAGGTTGTAAAGTATGAAAGTGAAAGACACCCTGTTGTTTTATGAAGCACTTGACAATATTTATTACTTTTATCACTGTGGCATCTAACAGCCCTGAGTGTGGGCCAAGACCTTGCAAAAAATACAGAAAAGCTTGACCACAAAATGCTGAAGGCTGCAGCACAGTTCTGACAAACACCAGCCTAGCTTTCAACAGCATGCACCTAAAGCCCAGAGCTCAGCTCCTAGGCTGGATGTTAAATTTGAAACAGGAGTCACTGAAGGACACCTGGAGTCATCCATATCAAATGAAAACCAAAGATGTGCCTGAATTCCCACTGCTCTCTGCAGTTCAGGCATTTGAACTGCAAGGATTCAGCATGGGAGATGGATCCCAGAGACTACAGCCAAAGAGAATCACAGTGGTGATGGGTCAATGGTTGGACCAGATGATCTTAGTGGTCCAACCTTAATGATTCTGTGATTCAGGAGTGTGCACTGAGCCCTGATCTCATGGGCTGGAATGGAACATAGGGAAGACCTACATTCATGGAGCAAGGAAGTGCATGGGAACATGATTCTTAACAGGTAGGTTGTTGCGTTAGATTGACTCTTTCTTGTTTTCATTCCGGTCCTGCGACTCTTGCATCATGAACATGAACACAACACAATTTCTCATGCTACTTCTTTTAGGTGCTTGCTTTCTAGTTAAGGCAATCAGGGCTTGCAGTGTTTGTGTTTTCTATTAAAAGGGTTGGAATAAATACTAGTTTTAAGCAGCCAGTTCTTTCTTTGGATCTGGCAGTAAGTGGCGCATCCTGGAACAGTGACACATGCAGTAAGTTGTGTAAGCCATACACCATCTTCAAAAGAAATAGTCGTTTACTGCCTGTTACATATATATGTTTCTTTTCTGTGGTTGTATTGATAGTCAAAGGAGCTCGTCGGCTTTTCACAGCACATATTGCTGCTCTTAAAAAGAGCTCTTACAAATTCTCAGTCTGGCACCTCCAATAAAACACTGAGTCACAAGTCCTTTGAACCCCAAAGTTGTTCATCCTTCTATTTACTTCCTCAGCCCGGTATGCGCCAGGATACCACTCTGCCAATTTCGTTGGTCTACTATCACTGAAGTATTAAAATAACCCAACGAGAGAAGAAACAGACTACAGTACTATTTTATCACCGCTTTCAGTTTCGGGCTGCCTCGCTCACGAACACAACTTTTCTGCTTTCCCTCAGCTCCGCAGCCCCGGGGGTAGGAGGGCACGGGTCGCACTGGGAGCAGCGGCCGCTAACGCGGTGCCGGTGGGAGCCGCGGGGCTCGCCCCGTGCCCGCCCGGGGGAGGCTGCTCCCGCTGCAGGAGCTCTGCAAGGGGCCCTTCCGCCCCGCACAAAGGCAGTGCGGGAAGGAGGCGAGCCCGACCCCCTCGAGAGGGGCACCGAGCCTGGGAGTAAGGCTTAAGGGGAACCGCGTCGGGCAAGCGGGACGGAGAGGCACCGCGGACAGGTAGCTCTCCGCTAAAAATGGAGGGAAGGGAGAAATTCCGGGAGAAACTTACCGGAGGAAACCGACGAGCCGGACAGACTGGAGTTGCTGGATGCTGCCATGGTCTCTTTTCCTCACCCCTTTAGCTGCGAGCCCCGTGTCGGCTCCCGCTGCTGTCCGGCTGCTGCCAGCCCATGGCCAAGTGCCGGAGCCGCGTAGCTCCCAGCCGCCGCCGCAGCCCGCGCTCGGTTTCCTCGTGCGCCTACGGGGAGCGGGGCTCCGACGCCGCAGAGCTGCCGGCCGCGCCGCAGGGCTGGGCAAAGCCGTTCGGCGGGTCGGGGAAGGGACCGCGGCGCTCCCGGCGCCTCTCTCCGCCGGGGAAGCTGGGCTTACCTTGCGGCGGGGACGGGAGAGCCGCCCTGCCCGCGCCTTCCCTCTCCTCCTCCCTTCCCTTCCCTTCCCCGCCTCCTGGCGGGCAGCGCTGACAGCCCGGCGGGGGCACCGCCGCCGCTCCCCCCGCGCACACAAAGGAGGCGGCGGAGCTGCCGGCCCCCGGGGCGGCGGTCGAACCGCCCCGGCGGCCCCACCGAGTCCCTTCCCGGCACCGGGCTGGAGGAGAGCGCTGCTCCTGCCATGTGCCGCTGCCCAGAGCCTGTTGAGCGCCCCAGCCCTGCGTCCCCGGCTGCGGGGCTGCGCACCTGGGGCAGGGCTTGCATCAGCCCTTTGTCTGCCTCTTTCCTCTGCTCGTTCCTTGTTGCTTCTCTCCTCCATCTAGCACCTCTCACCCTCACTTTTCTTCCCTTTTTATCTTTTCCATCCCCTCTTTTTTCCCCCCCCCCCCGGTTATTTTTTTTTTTTTTTTTTTTTTTTTTGTCCACTTTATTTCTTTTTCTGCCCACCTGGCTTGCTTTTTCTTAGAAGAGAAACCTATACCATTCTGCTCCCAGGTTCTCCCTCTCCAGCAGTGCCTGCCAGGCCTGCTGCATGGCCTGGGCTGCTGCCCTGCAGCTTCTTAATGTGCAGCTGCGAAAGAGGGAGAGCCAAGAAAGCATTAGCTTAAAGCTCCTCTCAGTTGGCTGCTGGATATAGCTCCTCGCAGCACTTTACAGACAGCCAAAGCTTCAATCTCATCTTATTAAATGAGGGTGAGAAGGCAGCAGGAAGGTGGTCAGCTGTCATGCGACTGTCAAAAGCCAGGCAGCATGGCAAGCCTTGCTGGCATGGGATCTGTAAGAAGGCTGTAACCCATTTGCCTTCATGGTGATTTATGAAAGCCTTCCATGTTTCATAACATAGAGGCTATAAAATAAAGTTACTTCGGGACAAGCGGCAAATCGCATTAAAGTTTCTCCTGGGAGCTGAGCCCTACCCACCCAATCCGCACAGCTTTCCAAAAGATCGCGCAAACTGCGTGCCCTCTCTGTAACTTGCACCCAGCTGCTCCCCATCCTCCCCGAAACAAAACTCAGCCCGGTCTCTCCGCACCCTCCGCCGGGTCCCGCTTCTCCCCGGGAAAAAAAGTGTCGGTGCGCCCTCTAGCGGCTGGCGCGGCGCTATTGCTCGCCATCCCCGGAGTGCGGCGGGCAGCAGCGCGGGGCTCTCTTTGCCAGGCTTTCTGTTTTAAGGGTAGGTCACTTCGTACGAGGAGCAGCAACTTCCGCAGTCGGCTTCAGAGCTGACTCTTATTAATCTGTAAATTACTACCTTACCTGCATAAAACTACTACAGGCATGTCACTGCTTTTTGATCTTCAGCCAATTGTGTTATGTTGTGTGTTTTAAAGATTAAATGCTGAGAATGAAATGAGAAGGATAGAAAGTTCTTTTATCTTCTGGATTAGGTCATAAAAGTAAGCTGATGCCTGAAATGTATCAAAATAATGTAGTATACCATGTAATATGGCAACTATAAAATACAGAACTGGGGCTGTTTAGTCTGGGGAAGAGGAGGCTAAGGGTAGACCTTAATGCTCTCTTTCAATATCTGAGAGGTGAATACAAGAGCAGGGTTGGTCTCTTCTCACTGGTGACAGGACAAGGGGAAATGGCCTCACGTTACACCAGGATAGATTGGCTATCAGGAAAAACTTCTTTCCAGAAAGTGTTGTTAAGCCCTGGAACAGGCTCCCCAGGGAGGTGGTTGAGTCACCATCCCTGGATGTGTTCAAAAACTGTTTGAATGTGGTGCTGAGGGATATGATTTAGCAGAGGGTTGTTAGGGTAGTATGGTTATGTTGTAGTTAGATTTGATGATCTTTAAGGTCTTTTTCAACCTGAGCAATTCTATGATTCTATGAGATATCAAGATTGTAATAGTAGGATATTCACTCACAGAGTACATCATGTTTTGTAGACGCATTCACTTCCTTCCCGCATAATTGTTTTTCTTCTCCTCCAATTACATCTTTCTAATATTTGTCCCTTTAAAATCTGTCATGTCTTTTTCTCTCCCTAATCTTGCCCTCGTGTCTGTCCAGCAACAGTCAGAAAACTGTGTCATATGAAATACATGAAATATAGTGGTGTTAACAAAACAGAACCATAGAATCACAAAATCACATAGGCATTTGGCATTGGACTAGATGGCCTGTAAGGCTCCCTTCCAACTCCTCTGCAATGAACAGAGACACCTAGAGCCTGATCATGTTACTGGGAGCCCTGTCCAGTATGGCCTTAAATGTCTTATGTCCAATCTAAATTGCTTCTGATTTTGTTTGAAACCAAATCTCCTTGAAAGAGAACACCTTGGGAAAAAAACAAACAAACAAACAAAAAAAAACCAGAAGGTGCTACCTAACCTGTTAACTGGAGTGAAGTATCAAAGTAGATAACAAAGCCACTCAACCAGTAAAATATTGGTTTCAGCTAAATGTTACAAAAATAAATCTACCTGCGTACTTCTTCAAAACCACATTCCATTTTTACCATCTGGATGTAAAGCCCTGAAGTGTTTGCTCTCTGTGAAGGTTCTGATGATAAATACCAGTGGACTGTTCCTGGCAATAGTAAAGAGCAAATATCAGTGGAATACTTATGCTCCTGGTTTTGATCATTCACACTAGAAATCTGATTCTAGATAATGTTGCCATTCTTGCAGGGAAAGAAACTAATCATTTTACCTACCTATTCACTTAAAATAGATTTCGATACTCTGGATTAATTACAATGATAAATATTAGGCCAGAAATATTTGCTAGATCTAAGAAAGACTTCATCTTTTTTGCTGAGAAAATATTTTCATAATTGGTTTTAAGCGATCTTTCCAGCCATAAGTCTGAATAAAGCAAGAGAATAATTTCTTCATAGAACGACTATTCCACGTGTTCCAGTAACCATAGGCGAAGTATTTTCTGTCCAAAGTCATTGAGTATGGAAGTGTCTGGTCATGAATTGGAATACCCCTGAAGAATAGACAAGTGTTGATGTCTTTGTGATAATAGAAAGTTAAGTAACTTCAATTTCCACAACATTTAAAGCTAAGTTAATAAAGTTAAGTGAAATGTCTTGTAGATCAAAACAAATTTTCATATTTCAAGGCAGTTTAGCCTTTTCCTTGGCAGAAGCAAAAAACATGAATATTGTACAATTAACAAATGTACTGTTAGAATAGCATGGTTAGGATAGTATTTTAGAGGTTTGATACTTGAAAGATTATCATGGTGGAAACAGACAATAAAAAAAAAAAAAAATAAAATTCCCACCTGTATCATAGGCCCAGAGTAGAAAACTCCAAAAGAAGGGATCTCCAGAAGAGATCCTTCCTAGTGGCAGTCAGCCCTTAAATGGGGTCTAGGAGAGGTGCAGCCAGGCTCCACCCCTTCTGGTCACACAGCTGAATCGCCTTCACCTGTGCTCCATGGCTGACTCAGTGCTTGCCTCAGGTGGTCAATCAGAGGCTCAGGCCGTGATCAACAGCTCCCACACAAATATTTATGCAATTAGGGGGAAATTACTAGATCAAAAGGAATGCATCTTTGAAAGAAACAGAAGTATCCTTGTTATGTACAAAAGTGTAAAGTGAAGATAGGGCAGTTAGGTGCTAGTTCTATTTTGAAGAAATTGTGAGCAGATTCTAATTTGTTCAGGGGTTGGCTTTAACCATTGCTAGTAATGTAAGTACTCAGATAACAAGAATTAAATTGTAAATTTACAGAGACTCTATTAAATGTAAGCTATTCTCAGGCTTACCACACCTGTAGCCTTCATATAAATCTAATACAAATCTCTGGCTTTATGTTCCTGGTGGAACTAGTGATAATGCCTGCTGGAGTATCTTCACTTTCTAGAGAAGTACCATCTCCCCAAAGTTTTGGGTAACTCTCCCTATGCTGGGTCTTAGAAAGATGGTCAAAGTCAGTATGGACACTGCCCTTGACATTAGCAGTGGGAAAAGGGAAAGTCTGTATGCTTTGTATTATATATATGTTTTAGTGAAGAGATTAGGGAGTTTGTCAGAAAAGATTTACCAAATTGGTTCTCAAACTCTGCCTAAATTCCAAAGAAGTGACTACCTGCTTCAGCTAGCACCATAACGTTTGAAATGACATAAAACTTGCTGTGGAAGAGGCCACGGTATTCCAAAATTTAATAAGCATAGGAAGCCCAAAGTAATAGTTGGTAGGTTTGAGGAACCCTGAAATATTACAGCTGCTTCCAAAGAAATGTGTAAGAATATCTGAAAAGTTTTTTCAGTCTGCCAGTGGATTAGGTTATTTCTATACCTTTCTTGTATTCCTGACTGCCATACTTCTGCATGGTAGGGTTCCTGTACAAGCTTGAATTTATGCACATTTTGTTCTCAAGTAACTGAAAATGAGTACCATGTATTTACAGCAAGGAGCACAAGACCTATTGAATCCAGCAAACAGCTAAGTTATATATTTGAAAAGAATCATAGTATGGTCCTAAACCTATAAACAAGGAGGTGCATGCATAACTTCATTTTCATATTAACTATGATGAAGTGCGATATTTGAGTAACATTCTAGGCGTGAGCCGGATGAGGACCTATGCTTAGAGATCTATCAGTGCAAACCATTGTGAATTTGACAGCTGAAGATACGTCTGTACTTCCTTCATCTTATGGAGTGGCCTCAGAGGTGGCCCTGATTCCTCAGAGAACTGGTGCAGACTGGTTTGTGTCCTGATCTCAAAATGAAGGCTGTGCAGACAGGCCAGTCACCTACTGCTCAGTCATTAGTATCACAGCTAACTCATTGTAAGACTTTGTGAGGCTGAGAAGGCAGATCCTAGCTGATAAATAGGTTTTTATATTTCTGTGAGATAAAAGCAAACAGAAAATTACTCTTTCCACAAAGAACAGGATGAAAACCTAGAAATAATGAAGAACAGTGGTCAGACCTGTGCTGCTTTCCTTCCAGACTCCCTTTTTTTCTCCTTTTAACTGAATTGTTTATTGCATATCTAAGTATTCACATGTATTTAATACCCTGGCTTCTTCTTATTCAACTTCAATCGAAGTAGGCACTTCCACTGCAGAAACAAAGACCTCTTCTTAGAACTTCCTTCATTTTACTGACTTGATAGAGTCCTTCTGCTTTAGCTGTAGAAAAAGAGAGCTGAAACACAAGTATAGACCAAAAATAAAATTATTAGCTAGATCACTAGGTGGGGCCTGTAGCGACATGAAGTTCTGCATCAGCCTTGCTTGCTTAGTCTGAAAGACATTTGTCTGTAACAAGCATTTATACTGCAATCTTCCTCCTGTTGATATTTCCCTCAGTGTTCTTCTGACAGAATCTGGCCTGGAATCAGTGCACCTTGGGTCTCTTTAGCCATGATTCCTTCCCATCCAATACTAGCACACAAGATTCATGTTGACTCCTGGCAGACAATTCTCTATAGACGACTACAGTACCTTCCTTACAGCCCTTCCAGCTTTACAGTTGTGGCATCATGCATAATCCACTGCATCCAATGGCTGGGTTATTATCAGGGAGCAGCAATGATTTACTTGGCCTGAAGCACTTTTGCAATGTGACAGGAGTTCAAAATCTGGTTATTGATTTTGTTTCAAGATGAAAACTGGCATTTATTATTTCAGTGTGAGTGTAGATAGGTTGGCAAGAGATGTTGGCTTTTAATTATGTAAATCAGAAGAAAGTAAATATGTTTGGCCTACTGCTTGGATTGTGTAATAGGTACAGAAATATAAATGTTTTGCATAAGACAGCAAGACATGTGATACAAAGATTTAGTATTGTTAAAGATCTAAAGTGCTAATCTTTCTTTTGATGTTTATTTTTCCTAGCTGGAATGTAAGGAAATGCATTATTCATTCTTTGGTGCTAAAGGGAAAGACCTTTATAAGAAATATATAATCCATATACTTTCCACAGAACTTAGAAATCTTATTCAATATGAGAGCCATAATAAGAAACATAAACCAAAATATCAGTAAATAGCAGATGCACGCTGCGTTTTGGTATGAATAAATTATGTGAGTCCTGATGGCTGCAACAGCAGGTGGTTGTGTAGTTCAAGACTGTCTGTGACTTCTCACTTTTTTTTTCAATGCTCCAAAGACGAAGGTTTGTAACCTCTGAAATCTGGCATAGTTTTTATCTCCGCACCTTCAACGAACAAACTTGAGACATCTATTGAAGTTTGTTAGCTCTGCCAATAGACACGTAGCAAATAGGCTGATCATCACTTGTGAGAGCTAACCCTGCTGCTGTGACTAATTTATGAATGTTCATCCTTTTTGTTCTTTCATCTTTCTTCCTGTCTCATGCATCCTATTTTAATTAAATCTCAGATTGGAAGTTCGCTGGGGCAGAGAACTTCCTTATTATGTTGTTTTCAAAGTTTTCAAAGAGCCCTAATCCATAATTGGAGGCTGATAGAGATTTTGAAATTACTGGAATCAACTACATACCTGCTTTTAGACCTGGCTGAGGAAAAAATAATGTACAGAAAAAAAAATCTGGTGAAATATAACTTTAATGGGCTTTTCCTTTCTTAATAATAAGCAGCAACTTTCATATCCTTTGTCTCAGAGAACAGAATTTAAAAGTCCAAACTAGTTGCAATACAATTCTTCTTTACAGAGTGATCAGTTCATTGTATTTTTGAACATGACGCTGTTGTGTTTAAATGCTTCCAGCAATTGAACCCATGGCTCCTAAATAAGTAGATACCTAATTTTTAAAACATATTTCATGCAGTTTTAAAAGGTAACATATGTTACAGAAATTATACTTAAAAATCAGCCAGAGCTGAGACTGATTTTTTTACTGAACCATAAACATTCCTAATTTTGGATTCGTTCAGTGAAGACTTTTGTATTGGCCAAGTACCTCATATATGGGGAAAGAGGAATTTTCTTTGTCTTTTGCAGCTTTCTTCATGTTTTTGAACAGAATGGATTGCATTATACTGTGAAGGCCATGTCTACATATGAGCTACTCTCAACCTCTTTTCTGTGATTACTGGAAACCTTATCACTGCAACAGAAACTGATGTAGATGGAAAGGTGGAAAAAGAAGAACAGAAACGATGTTGAAGACCTTAACAACACTCAGCTGACTGGTCTGAATATTCTGAATCTCATGTTACTACATGCTAACCAACTCAACATTAAATGTGAGTGTGCTGCTACTGAGATTTTCCTACAGAATTATTTCAAGTAAATCATACTTTAAAATAGATGTGCAATGCACGGCTTTTATTAATCTTTGGCCTTTCATCTAGACTGACAAATAAATTCTTTTTCCCATAGTTGAAAATTTCTTTTTTCTTGAACCTACAGTAAAGTCATCATGTTGAATTCACAGCTTCACAATTACCATGACAATGTAGTGATATCAAAGCACCAGCTTTATTCTTTCATTAAGATGGAAGAAAGAATGGGGCTCAGAGCAAAGCTGATTTAACTGTTCTGTCATTTTTTTCCTTATGTGTGAATTGTATGCAAATCTAGAAGGGTTAAATTAATTAATTAGCTATTTCTAGCATTCTTTCTGCATTTCTTTATACTGGTAAATTTTGACTAGTGCATTTTTTTTTACAACAGTTCAGTGCAAAAATATATTATGATACTCAAAATTCATGAATAGTGATGGAGCTATATGATTTGTTATCTAAATGCATTGGGTTATGAGCCTGTAGAAGCTAAATGGGCAGCTGTCCAAAATAAATTTTATTTCAGCTGCAGAACTGAAAACTGCATTCATCAGGCTTTTGCAAAAACAAAGCTTTGATCACTTATTTGTGGAAAGTAAATTAGTCAAAATATCTATTTAGAAATTATTTACTTCAGATGTTCATGAATTATTTATTTCACTCTTTCTCCTGTTTAACTGTGGTACAAAATTCTCTTAATTAGCTAAAAATATTTTAAATGATAGAGGGGCAGCTACTGGAGAATGTATCCCATATTAACTTGTCTTTGATTTAATAGATGTTTTCTGCCTATTTATTACAATTCTGTCTAAATGTAGATTTGTGTACTTTGCGATTTGTTAATCCAAGCTGAGGTAGACACAAGCTTGGTTGTTTCACTTTTAAATATGCTCAGATTTCAATGTTCTGTATTATGTACATAAATAGAATCTTACAATTTGGTTTTGCAGTTGCTAGGCTCTCTTTTGTCTGTTTGTTTTGCTTTGTTTATAGAATCAGAGGTCAAACGTAGGGATTTTGGATTTTTTCATTGAACCAACATACCATTCAACTATATAATGCAATTTCCTAAAGGCTTACTGATATTAAGCATCCTAGATTCCAGACAAAGGCGTTTTTCTTCTCTACAGTTTTACCTAAGAGATAAAATCAATATATGGCTCCACCTTTGTCCCTTAATGCTTGGAATGAAACCTTGCTTCAGTTGAAGACAGTAATAGTTTTTCTCACTGACTACAAAGAGCCTGGTGTTTCACCCTTCATTTCTCAGCTGGATACTGCTTTTTTCTTTAAGCTACCATGTATCATAAAAAGCGAAGATCTTTGGAAACTCTAATGCACCACAGTAAAAATTGCAATGTTAAAAGGCAACATCAATATATATTTTTATGTAGTAGTGGGAGGAGAAAATAAACTAGGGGAGAAAAACATTCCTATTCTTGGAGAGCAGAGGTTTGTTGTATTTATAAATGAAAATGCATCCTTGTGAGTAATAAAAAAGCCCCAGACACTTGCTTCATACCATTCCACCAGAGACAGCTATCAAGTAAGTATGTTTACCAACAAATCTACTCTTATAATATCTCACTCACAAAGAAGGTTGAAAATGGGATTTTGAGCACTAGTGGTTTTGTAAGAGAGAGGCCAAAAGAAATTCTATGTTTATTAGCTAATGATGCATGATTCTGAGGAATCCCAGAGTTGAACTTAATTCTAAGATATGATAACATCATGAGGTATCTTGCTTATTTAATTTTTTTACTTTTTTTTCCAGGCATTTGTCTTCTGCCTGAGATCCTTTTCTGTAGTTCTAAGCATCCAGTCAGAAAGGTAAAGCAATTATATAAGCAATAATATGATTAAGTTCTTACAAAAAGTTAATGATAGAACATTATAACCACTTTAGCTCTTTATAACCAGATGTTGTCTAAGTTCCCAGGAAGAAAAGGCAAGCTTTGTCTTGCATTCATATCTGGGCTGTAATTATCTAGTATGCAGACACTAAAAAGCACAGAACTATCTCTATATATATAGAGACATCAAGAATGAGGGGTGGGATCCTTGACAGTAGCCCTGCAGAGGACCTGAGGGTCCTGCTGGATGAAAAACTTAACATGAGGCAGCAGTTTGTTCCTGCAGCTCAGAAAGCAAACGGGCTCCATCGGAAGAGGAGTGGCCAGCAGAGGCAGGGAGGTGATTGTTCCTCTCTGCTCTGCCCTAATGAGGCCCCATCTGGAGTACTGCGTCCAGGTTTGGGGCCCCCAGGACAAGACAGGGAGCTGTTGGAGAGGGTCCACTGGAGGGCCACAAAGGTGACCAGAGGGCTGGAGCACCTCCACTACGAATACAGGCTGACCGAGCTGGGCTTGTTCAGCCTGGAGAAGGGAAGGCTTTGGGGAGAGTTCATTGCATCCTTCCAGTACTTAAAAGGAGCTTATAATCAGGAGGGAGACCAGCCTTTTCCACAGCTGATAGTGATAGAACAAGGGGGATAAAAATAAAAGAAGGGAGATTTAGATAAGATATTAGGAGGAAATTTTTTGTATGGAGAGTGTGGTGAGGCACTGGAAGAAGTTGCCTAGAGAAGCTGTGGATACATTGCAGACCAGGCTGGGCAGAGCCCTGGGCAGCCTGATCAGATAGTTGGCAACCCTGCCCATGGCAGAGGGGTTGGAACTAGTCAGGCTTGAAGACCCTCTACAACCCACAACATTCTATGATTCTGTGATTCTATAATTCTTCATAAAGAAATGCCACAGAAGAACAAAGAATTGAGTGGAAGGACCTGCTCACAATTAATGTCTTATATCAAAGCTCATCCAGAAAAGAAAATAGAAATATCTAGTACAAATATGAAGGTTAAAGTCAATTCATTTATAGTAGTGCTACCAGGCAGCTGAGCAAATCTGATGATGATCGGCAAGATTAATCCTCCAAGGCAAGAATACTTAGTAGAAACAGTCAATCCTGAATCAAAGGGGTCCAGGAAGGCTGGATGCTCCTTAAGAAGGAAGTCTCACAGGTGCAGGAGCAGGCTGTCTCCCTGTTTTGTTAGGTGAGCTGGTATTGAATGTAGTTAAATACAGCTGGCAACCAGTCACAAGTGGTGTTCCCCAGGGGTTGGTACAGGGGCCTGTCCTGTTTCGTATCATTACTGATGACCTGGACAAGGGGACTGAGTGCACCCTCAGTAAATTTGCAGATGACACCAAGCTGGAAGGAAGTGTCTATCTGCCTGAGAGTAGGAAATCCCTTCAGGGGGATACAGACAGACTGGATTGCTTGGCTGAAGCCAGTGGGATGAAGTCCAGCAAGACCAAGTGCCGGGTGCAGCACTTTGGCCAAAACAACCCCAGGCAACACAACAGGTTTGGGGCAGAGCAGCTGGAAGATTGTTATGGACGAAATGGACCTGGGGATGTTGGTCAATGCTCAGCTAAACATGAGCCAGCAGTGTGCCCAGATAGCCAAGAAGGCCAATGGCATCCTGGCATGTACCAGAAATAGCACTGCCAGCAGGATAAGGAAGTTGATTGTCCCTCTGTACTCAGCACTATTGAGGCTACACCTGAAGTACTGTGTTCAGTTTTGGGTCCCTCACTACAAGAAAAACATCGAAGCCCTGGAGAGCATCCAGAGAAGGTCAATGAGGCTGTGAAGGGTCTGGAGCACAAGTCTAATGGGGAGCAGCTGAAGGAACTCGAATTGTTCATTCTGGAAAAGAGGGTGCTCAGGGACCTTATTGCCCTCTACAGCCACCTGAAAGGAGGTTGTGGCAAAATGCCTAGCTAGTGATAGGACAAGAGGGAATGGCTTCAAGTTGCACAAGGGGAGGTTTAGGTTGGATATTAGGAAAAATTCCTTCTCTGAAAGAATGGTCAGGCCCTGAAATAGGCTGTTCAGGAAGGTGTTTGAATAACCATTTCTGGAAGTGTTCAAGAAACATTTAGGCGTGGTAGTGAAGAACATGGCTTAGTGAGGAAATGGTGGTGGTAGGTGGATGGTTGAACTAGATTATCTTGGAGATTTTTTCAACCTTGGTGATTCTATGATTCTATGAATTAAAAGAAAATAGGGCACAAGGCAAATAAATTTTTTCACCAGCCATCCTTGGTCCTATCAGTTACCCCTGACAGCACGTTAAGCACTCAAATTCAAAAACCACATGAATTACATGAAATTTATCTTCTTTCATCCCTAATTGGGAACAGCAAGTGGGAAAAGCAGCAGAATTTCAGTCATTCCATGCCGCAGACAAGGCTGGTGGGAAGGAGGCAATGACTGGGAAGGATATGTTTGCATGAACAAGTGAGAAACCACCCATATCCACATCTGTGTGTGTGTTTATGTACTGCTGCTCTCAATCACATAGCCTTGGGAAAGCCAAAAACCTTTCATAACTGGCTGGATATGAAGCCACTTTTCTCTCTCCACTGGTATAGAAGAAATAATTTCTGTGGTCATTAGGAAGCTGCAGATAATTTTCTTAAGACATTTTGCCACTTCTGGGGGGCCTATTTTCTTCTCCATAGGCTGTTTAATTCTTATTAATATCAATGGGGGTTATGCACACATGTGGAGAACAAATTAGATTCTTCATTGTTTCCTTCTGATAAAATTAAATGTTCTTTCCACATGTTAAAATTAGCTCACATACTGTTGTTCTCATGGCTTTGAAAGTAGAGAACATTAGTCATTAAATGACTCTTAAATTATTTTGTCTCTTATTAAAAGACCTTGCTCTACTTCCAGAGTCTGAAACTAGTTGTCAAAAGCCTCAGTCATAGCTTGAGTAGATGGCTGAGCATCAGTTTTTGAGTGTTTTTATGACTATTGATTTCATGCTTAGGCTGGAGGGAAAACCTTATTGCCAAGTGCATTATAGAGACTAGATCTGAGTAGCAGTTGCTTCATACTAATCCAGTCAATTTTTTCTCAGTCAGTTCTTATTTCCTTTTTTTCGTATTTACAAGCATTGGAAGATGAATGCTTCTGTCACAATCTGTATCAGAACTGTCTTAACTCATTTTCCTCTGTTGCCTGTAAGTAAAAAAATATGAAATAAATTTTCACTGACAAGACTCTGTGCTGCACTTTAATACCATCATTATGTAAGGAATCATTACTGTGCATGATTTGGTATATGCAGAGTGCTGAGATGAATTTTATACTCTTTGAAATGTTTTTCTTAGGACAAATGCTTATAATTACAACAGATCTATTAATATTTATCATTGACACTGCATCAAAGAAATAGCAACAGAGATTATTCTGTGGACCTTTTGACCTTTTTAGAATATGGAATGCTGAACATTAACATTCAATAAGTGCAGTTCCCTGAAGGATGGTGACATAAAACAAATTGGGCTACTTAGAAACTGCACTCCCTGTGGATCACACAGTAGCAGAGAATGACTAAGCATTACAGCTTCCTGGAACACAACTGGAGATGCAGTTGCCATTGCAAATGGAAGAGGAACATTGTGTTGGTAACATCTGCTTACCTGTTCTGGAAATTGTTCAAGATGGGTGAATGCCTACATTATGAGATACTGGGGGATACTAAAATATTAGAAAAGCTTTAGATATGATCTTGGGAAATACTTTGATAGAAGTCTATGGGGTAAAATCTGAGTGAATCCATTTTTAAACTACAGCTAATAAAAATGAAGAAAACAGAAAAACCTGTACCTAGGTAATAGATTGAGTCAAGAAATGGGAGTCAGTGAAGTCACCTGACCCACTAATCAAGTCAGCATTTTCATAGAAAAATTGATAGTATAATGATTGGAGAAAATCTATTATCATGACAATAAGCTAATCTATCAAAATCCAGAATCAGCATCTTTTTAGTTTAATTTATTTTAGTCTTATTAGCATGAAAAGTAGCTTTTCACTGCAATTCATAAGCTATTTAAACTTTTATTTTTTCAAAACTACAGTTAGCTATCACAAGTTGTAGGATTATTTTTCTTGTTCTATTCTGACTGATTCAGAATTTCTTTACAAACTTGAAACAAGACACAATCTATCTGATACCTAATTGTACTTATTTTTCAGATCTGATTTCCTTTTATTTTCTTTTTAATTGAAATATTTTCTGTCAATATATGCTGAAATGTCAAAACAACAGTTTGTGGATAAGCAGGTATGAAAAACTGTTTTTTTGTTGTTGTTGCTTGTTTGTTTTGTTTGCTTCTTGGTTTGACTTATGAATGTCTTTCAGCCTTAACTGGAGTTCAACAGATCTTCTGGTTTCTTGGAAGCTCTTGTTTATGAAAATATGACTAAAAGGCTTGCTACAAATTATTTAAGTCATCCCATGGAAGGTGGAAGTCATGGTATAAGAACACCTACATTTAGGCACCTAGATGCCTTAGTGACATCAATCCCCTTACAGCCAATCAAGATTTCGTCAATACTGTCAAAAGATCTTAAAGAGCCATTCATTCCACCAGGTAATATGTGTTTTTTTTAAAGTGAGGTGAGGTCTGCTGGAGCTGAATCCCATTGGGAAATGACTCCCAGAGGGAACTTCCACAAATTGGATGTTCCTCTAAATCTTTCACCTTATTAAACTCCAGCTTTTCCGGTCCAGAGAGCTTAGATTTGCTTTGCTGACTTTTGTGCATTTGGTTTTCAGAGATTAGAGTAAGGGATTTGTTTAACCAGGCCATTCTATACTTTTTACTAATCATGCATCTTGTTTCAGGCAATTGCCCTGTGATGATTTCAGTGTCACAGAGGCAAGATCTGTTCTGTAAAATCTTATTTCCATTCTTTGAGCCTTTTTCATGCTTGAGAATAATCTTATTTAAATTTGTATATTTAAGGATTTCTATTCCATACAGTGAAATGGGATCCTACAGTGGCTGAGATCATCAGACTTGAGGAAGTAGTCTTGGCCAGCTCAATGCCGTTGTGATGCAGACATTGCCAAGAACATTCTAAGGGGTTCTCTTGTCTAGATATGTGTGGTGAGAGAAGGCAATTCCTTTCTCCACTTTCGTTCTTGCCACATTGTTATTTTAATCCTGTCACTTTTATTCCTATCATCCAAAGTGAAAGAATGAATTAATGAATCTGATCTTCCTTTAGAGAAAATGTTCCTTACATTTTTAGTGTTCAAAGCAAAATAGATGCTAAGTGAATGCTTCCAACCAAAGTTGTGCTGGGATTACCTTTAGAAGTAAATAGCAGAAAGTAGTCTATTACAGACTAATGGGGCATTGCCTGTCCTGACAAAACAGCCTGCAAAATTAGTTTAGCACAGAAATAGGTTGGAGCAAGTCTACAAGACAACACAGTGGTTAAGCTGGTGCTAGCAATCAGTCCCCGTTAATGTCACTGTCTTGAGATCCTTTTCCGGAAAAAAAAAATAATATAATAATAATCCTGGAATTTGTAGAAAATCAATGCTTTTAAAATAAACAACTCACTGATAAGGCTTTTCCTGTTAAAGAGTGTCCACTGTTCAAAATGGCTTATTAGCTTAAAAGAAAGTGGGTATAAGGCTTGGGTAAAGAATGAGAGTTTTCTACAGAAGCTGAAACCATTCTGCCAGCCTAGGACTGTGCTCTAGGACTGAACACCTGTATTGGTATCTCCCAAGTATCTGGCTTTGTCATTGCTTATCTATTTTATTCAGAACTGTCACTGTCCTATCAGACATTTTTGGAAAACTGTTGATAAACATCTCCACCTGTACCTCAGCTCCTACAAACAACTGTAGAGTTGTCTGATCCTGTAAATAGGGAATCTTTTCAAACAGTTTATCACGTAATAAGGTGTTAGCAGGCAGGAAATTTTGCTGCAAGGATATACTACAACTTCACTGCTAAAGTCTTTCAGGTTTATACTGAGGACAGAAAGCTATAAAGCTGTGTCCTTTACAAACGATTTTTTTGGCTGCTGTGATTTACTCATTTGAGAAAATCAATTGGCTGCATGTGTATTGATAGTGGCCACTAACACAGATTTATTTATATCAGTCTTTCCTGAAATCACCAAGAGCTGTTAGATAAAACAGAAGAGTAAATGATGCTGAAGTATTATACTGAAAAATTGTTTTCTTAACTTTGTTATAGCTAGTAAAATTTGCAAGTCTCAATTCCCTACACTTGATATCCATGGGGAGTAATACAGAATTCCTCCAGCTAAAGCTGGTCAAAGGTGAGGCATGTGGGCCAAGTACATTATGCAGGAGAAGATGAGCATCTTTTTGTGAACTAAGGTTATCTATACTCCCCCTCTGTTCACGAGGTATGCTTGGCTTTACAACCAGGTGTTGCAACTTTTTCAGGAGAACTTTGTTCTCCTTAAAAGATGACAAATTACTGTATGGGCAGTTGAAACATATTCATAGATAATATTGCCCTTCTGGTTATTGTACCAGTGTAGAAACCTGAGATTTCCACTGTCTGAATGTATTAATTAGTATCAGTGGTGCTATACAATTTTCTGGCTCATTCCATTAAAAAAATTCCTTCTACATCAAGTACTGTCAATATTAGTGGAAAGTTTTCAGATCAAGTGTACATGTATTGAACTTTTTGATGCTTTTATATCCACTAAAACGTACAAAAATGCATTTTCAATAAAATAAAATATGGGTTCTTGTTATGACTGTGTTTGCATATGGTATAATGCATGGCTATAAATTATTTCTGCAGATGGATTTAAATAAGCATTATTTTGACTATTTTATGTTATTATTTAAACAATAGACTAAATTATCTTTATTCTACAGACTCAAAACACCACTTATGCAATCTGCAGTGCAGCTCTAAACAGCACATCACTGCTGCCTTATAGTCACATGTCTTCACAAACTCCTTCCTTAATTCTAGTAGTTCATTTGCAGGGACAAACATATATGATGAAACTTCATATTCTGCTTTTTCCAAAGGAAATAAATTGTTTGTTGAGTGCGAGTCCATGGCTGTGGATCTAACTACGTACAAATTTAGCTCCTGTAAGCTGAATTTTCTGTATTATTTAGGTCTGTGTGTAGAAGTAAATGGAATAGCACTGATACAAGAGCTGTGAATTGATGGCAGGGAAACATGCTTATCCATTTTTCACTATGCCAAATTGTCTCTGAACTGAAATTTCATTTTTAAAGTTAATAGTCTATCATTCACAAGGAAAACTGAGGTCTTTTCTGTAAGCTTATTTGTAGATGAAAGAGATAGAAAATCTGAACTTCCTTAGACAAGCTTCTTGCTAGACCTCTGCTTTTAGTTATTTCCTGAAAAACTGCTTCAACATAAATAAAGAAGTGCTTTGGCTTAGCCTTGAGATATGCTGTAAAGTTAGCATAGCCTTGGATGCCAAATTTTTACATTTTTTCACCTTCACAGAATTGCTCATGAGACATGTCACTCACTGCAAGGCTGTCTTCCCATCCTTTCCATACAGCAACATTAAAACAACAATGAAAACAATTCTCTTCAAGCATAAAGCTTTGGGAATACCAGGACTCATGTAGTCACTTCAGACAGATGATAATGGCCCTTTAACCTGCTATCTTAATATGTATTTTGTTTTTCACTCATCTGAAAATTGCTAGAGCAATTTTATCCTTCTCCTAAACTGTAGCTTGCTGCCCACCAAAGCTTTGGAGCTTTTACACTTCATTTTATGGCTATAGGGAACATCCATACATTTTTCTGAAAGTCAGTTTGAAGATCCTTCTATAATGCTCATCTGCTACTGCTGGGTGTGGAAACAAGAATAATAATTGTTTAGTCATCTCGGAGCAACATTGCCAAAGAAAGTGGCTGCTTTTGCTGAATTGGGGTGAAAGGTCTGATGAATTAAAAGGATGCTGCTGAAAACAAAAATTGCCTTAGCTGGGAGTGATGATGAAGCACAGTATGGTGCATCTTCCTTTACACCTGAGCCTGCTTGACCTGATGAGCAATTTCAGACTGGAAGCGTCTTAACTGCATGGAAGAGAATGGAGAGATGGAGATGACCCTTCTGCTTCAAGCAAAACCTTAAAAGAGACTAGCATAGGTGGAAAAAAGTATTCACTGCTAAAAAAAGAGGTGGAGACTGTGTTTCCCCCAGCCATACTGTTACACTCTTCTGTGAACATCCCACAGTTGGCAATGGGAATGCTCATCTATCAGCACCTGTAGAAGGAGTATCAGAATGTGACTTAGTAACTGCATTGAAAATTAAAAAGAAATACTTTGTTCCAGTGACCTCAAAGAGCATAAAATCTACGTGCTTTCTTTTCATGCCAAGGTGGAGTAACTAACAATTGTGAACAGAAGTCATGTTCCCTCACACCTTTCCTGCCTGTTCTCTGAAAGCAGATCTTCCACCCTGCTGGATACAACCTGCCAGCTTTTATTTTGGTTGGTTTCTCCTTCTAGTCCATGTTTCAGATGTTCTTGTGCCCTCTGCTTGCTGTTACTCCTTTCATACGACTTCCTGTGACTTGCTCCTGCAATGTTGTGGAAACTGTGATGGCAGCAGACTGACACTTACCAGAGTGTTGCAATAGCACTTCCAAGAGGCTTGACTGCACATCCTACAGGCAATCTGATTGGGGTTATTTTCCTCGTGTTTGTGCTTCCCAGAAATGTGTGTCAGCTCCTGAGAGAGGAAGGCACGTGGTCCCTGCTGGTGCAAGTGCTATGGCTGGCACTCTGAAGCCAAGGAATTTGCTGCCGCTCTGGAGGCAGAGTGCTGCGACCTTGCAGTGGGTGTAAGGCCTTCCTGCAAACTGAGCAAATCTGTGCTACTTCTGTCACTCTCTTCTTTTTCTGGAGGAATTAATGTGCTTACCAGATGGCTATAACAGAGCTTACCAACCAGCACACAA